AGAGAGAGAGAGAGAGAGAGGAAAGGAAGATGTGAAAGAAAGCCTTCCACTTTGATCCACAAACACCATTCAAAGACCCAGGATGGGGATGATGAATGCAGAGGGGGGGGGGAAAGACGCCGGAGGGACTGGGAGAAGGCGAGGGAATTGAGCGGGTGCCACCGTGGAGCTCTGAAGATCAGTCCGGAGCTTTTAAAGGCTTAGTTAAGCATCAGGGGGGCACAGAGGCTTCAGATCTCTTGAAGTTATTTATCTTCAGCTTGCATGTGCGCAATCTCTCTCTCTCACACACACACACACACACTCAGACACACACAGACACACAGACACACCTCTTGCAAGCTTGCCTTCCTCGGCTTCCCCGGACCTGCACAGTCCCAGTGAAACCCACCCGGCTGCCCACACGCATCCCACACAGCAGACGCCGGCAATGAATTCTGAGGACCTTCTCGGCTACGGCGCAGAAGCCCACAGGCTGAAGGGCGATCCGGCGCCCTTTCCATCCTTCGGCCGGCCTCCCTCTTCCACCCGATCCATGAGATATGGTAGAAGTCTGCCAATAGTGGTGGGAGCAGATCGTGGGCAAGAAGGCAGGAACCCGCAAGGCTACTGCCCACATGAGGGCCCAAGCAAGGTGACATCATCATCACCACCACCATCATCTTAAAACTGCACAGCTAGAAGGCACCCTGTGGATCATCAAGGCCATCCTCTGACAAGGGAGACATGGTGGGAGAATTGAACTCCCCAACCTCTGGGTCGGCGGCCGGAGGCCTCAATGCCTGAGCTGTTGGGGGTGAAGACACGACAACATCTGCAGCGGCCATCAAGAAGACAGCATGGCCCCAGGAACGGCGGCCAGAGGTCTTCTGCTGGTCATGAAGAGCTGGCGGGGCCCTCCGACTCAACCACGGGCCACAAAAGCCGCTCTTGCTTATTGCTAAGAGACGGGAAGCTGCAGCCGCAGCAGGCCGGCTCGTATTCCCACCGCAGCCGGCGCACCCTGTTCCCCTCTGCCGCGCGCTAACGATAAAGCCGGCTCTTCACGTACTTCTTTATTTATTCCCCAGACATGCACTCCCGGAGTTTATTAGCACCATCTGCATGCTTGCTTTTCCCAGGCAACAGACATGCTGACACTCCCTTCCAGGTGCATTATTTCATTAGCGGGTTCGCACCTTGTCGTGTTTTATCTCCGAGACACGCGGCACGCTTCCTGGGCGGTGGAGCAGCCGGGGCTGGTGAGGAGAGGAGCGTCGGAGTCGGGCCCCAAAGAGAACCCCAAAGAGAGCACAGCAGGAAGGCTAGAAAAAGCAACCCTTCCCTGTAAACATCTGCCTTAACATCTGTGCGGAGGGACCTTAAGAAGCGGGGAGCGTGTGAGCCAGGTTACGAACCCTGGGTTCAGTGGAACCTGGACTCAAGAGTGTTGCTGGGAATTTCTGGCTAGCAGGAAAAAAAGGGGGCCATCTCCTTTTAGCTTAGTCGCAACCCCCACAGTAAACTGAGTGGGGATGAGATTGCATCAGCAGCAATACATTGTGAAGACTGTTGTACCACAATGTGTTTTTTTTGTCTGAGCTTGGCTGGACAGTTAAGACCCATTAGGTTTACAAAAGACATGATCCCGGCGCAGATGAAAACTGTTGGGACTGCTTTGTTGTTATATTCAATGTACTGGCCTGGGAATTGCACATTAGGGTAGAAACAGACATTACAGACCACCTATTATTAAAAGAAGGAATTCCTTAACTGCTGAAAACATTGACATGCATGACAGGCTAGTCTCATCTTATGCAACCTGGAAATTAGCTTGCTTTGTTATGTGATGGGTGTCCAGGTCTTAGGCTGGGGGTTCTTTGTATGTAATTTGTCAAACATGAAAACCTGCTTTCGCCACATTCTCTGTTACTTTGACATGCTTTCAGCTCCTGTCACAGGCTCCTGATGTCTTTTTTTATTTTTTGCCGTCCATAGGCTAATTTTCTTAAAAAATGCAGAATTTCCAGAACCAGCATACAACAGATCAACAGATGATGTGTATGCTACTTAAATCCCCCATTTCTCTTTGCTTTTGGAAAATAGAAGTCACTAGGTTCCTTAGGAAAAAAATAGAAAGAAGAAGAAGAAGAAAAAAACACTCCACTTTGAACAACTATCTGCCTTTTCTCTTTTCAAACAGAAGAACTCAATCTTTCAAGTCAAGTCCTCTGGCGATAACCGTGGGCTGACTACTCCTCTGGAGCCACCTTATAATTTTCCCCCTTCTTCGGATCAGAGCCCAAAAGACCTGAAATGATGAGATCAAAGCGGGGAGGCCTGGCCCTCCAAAAACACCTTCGCCGACACCCTCCCCGCAGCAGGAGACGGGCCTTTATCTCCCGCTTAAAATGCACTCCACGTTGTCCCTTCTAGCTGAAATTTCACCCTCTGTGCGTGTGTATGTGTGTGTGTGTGGTTCTTTTTTTTTTATGACACAGGAATCGAGAAGGGGGGAGGGAGAGGAGCTGTCAGTAAAACTGTCTCCTCAAATTTATTTGCCTAAGCTAAGGTTTTATTACAAAGAAAATACACACTCTCACATCCACGAGATAAAGAACCCGCAGAGAGAGAATTATCCGGCTTGTAAATCTCTCGCACTTTGAAACGTGGTGGAAGTTTTCAAGGACATGTCCAATTTTAACGGGTTATTGTTATTGTTGTTGTTTTTTGTTGTGGGTTATTGAAATCCCTCCTGTAAGCCGGAGCAGAGATAACAGGGAGGTTCCACCCTCCCTCTCTTCCTCCAGAAGTTTTATTGATGCCCAAGGAAAGCAAGTCTTCCTGGAAAGTTCCCTCTGGGGTTAACCACGGCTGGCTTCCCATGTTGGCAAAGACAGAATTCTGCTTTTTGGCAATGAGATTTAAAAAAAAAAGAAAAAGAGGGAATTCTGGGAAACTTTCTCCCTCCCCCTTCCAGTTCCTTTGAGCCTGCAAAGGAAGTTGAAAGGACATATCTACTTAGAATGATAATCAGGCACCCGTGCTGTCGTTCCAGTGCTGGCTTTGGGAATTCATCACAGAGGCAGACTTAACTGGCAACATGGTATGGAAGAGTCAACAAGGCTGCTGATATGGTCCCTGATTGGCTAGGCCTTTGGGCTCCCTGGTAGCCAACAAAAACTCC